CCTACCCTTATTGCACGTTAGCATCAACATATCAGGGAGAACCTTTGGTTTTCTGGGATTGGCTTATTTCACTTAGCATTATTTCCAGTTCCATCCATTTACTAGAAAAATGCCATAATTTTCTTCTTCTTTATGGCCGAGTAATATTTCACTATATATATATATATATATATATATATATATATATATCACATTTCCTTTATCCATTCATCTGTTGAAGGGCACCTAGGTTGGTTTCATAGCTTAGCTATCGTGAATTGAGCTGCTATAAACATTGATATGGCAGTGTCACTAAAGTATGCTGATTTTAAGTCCTTTGGGTGTATACTGAGGATTGGGATAAATGGGTCAAATGATGGTTCTATTCCAAGTTTTCTGTGGAATCTCCATACTGTTTTCCATAGTAGTGCACAAGTTTGAAGTCCCACCAGAAATTAAGAGTGTACCTTTTACTCCACATCCTCACTAACATTTATTGTTTCTTATTGTTATGGTTTGGATGTAGGTGTCCCCCAAAAGTTCATGTGTGAGACAATGCAAGAAGATTTAGAGGAGAAATGATTGAGTTCTAGCCTTAACCTAATCAGTGAGTTAATCCAATGGGATTAACTGGTGGGTGGGGTGTGGCTRGAGGAGGTGGGCATTAGGGGTGTGGCTTTGGGGTATATATTTGTATCTGGAGAGTGGAGTCTCTCTCTGCTCCCTGATCACCATGTGAGCTGCTTCTCTGCACCACATTCTTCTGCCATAATGTTCTGCCTCACCTCAAGCCCCAAAGAATGGAGCCTGCCACCTCTGGATTAGACCTCTGAAATTGTGAGCCCCCAAATAAACTTTTCCTTCTCTACAGTTATGCTGGTGGGGTCATTTAGCCATAGCAACAAAAAAGCTGACTGTAACACTTATATTCTTGAAATTTACCATTCTGACTGGAGTGAAATGAAATCTCAGTATAGCTTTAAAAAAWTTTTTTTTTTAGTTGCAGAAGGACATGATACCTTAATTTATTTTTATGTGGTGCTGAGGATTGAACCCAGTGCCTTGCAAATGCAAGGTGAGCATTCTACCACAACCCCAGTCCTCAGTGTAGTTTTAATTTGCATTTCTCTAAGTGCTAGAGAAGTTGAACATTTTTTTCATATATTTGTTGACAGTTTGTATTTCTTCCTCTGTGAAGTGCATGTTCAGTTTCTTTGCCCACTTATTGATTGGGCTATTTATTTATTTTTTTGGTGTTAAGCTTTTTGAGTTTAATTTTTTATTTTTGTTAGTTATAGTTGGACACAATACCTTTATTTTATTTATGTATTTTTATGTGGTGCTGAGGATCGAACCCAGGGCCTCGTGCATGCTCGGCAAGCTCTCTACCACTGAGCCACAACCCCAGCCCCATTTTTTTTAATATTTATTTTTTTATTTGTTCACAATACATTTATTTTGTTTATTTATTTTTATGTGGTGCTGAGAATTGAACCCAGGACCTCGCACATGCTAGGCGAGCACTCTACTGCTGAGCCACAACCCCAGCCGCCCCCCACCATTAATTCTTAAAGGAGGGAATTCTGACACATGTTACAACATGGAGGAACCTAGAAGACAGGATGCCTATAAAATAAGCCAGTCGTAAAATAACAGCTACTCTGTATTCCACTTACATTAGGTACCTAGAATAGTCAAATAGGTAGGAACAGAAAGTGGAATGGTAGATTCCAGGGGTTAAGTGGAGGGTGGAAATGGAGTGTTATTGTCTGATTAGTACAGTTCTGGGGCTAGATGGTGGTGATGGTTGCAGAACAATGTGACAATACTTAATGTCATTGAACTGTGCACTTAAAAATGGTTAGAGTAGTACATTATATTTACATAAATTTGACCACAATAAAAAATGGTTTCTCTATGCTTGATTTGAATTGCTTTATTCACATTTTGAGTCAATAAATATTATTTTGCAACATATAAATGATTGCAATGATTTCAATGATTGCTTACAGCTTCTCCATGGAGATCTTTCATAATTTAATTTATTACCATGGGCATTTACTTTTGAAATTTTTTCCATTGTGAGTAATATATTTTTATTCCCATCTCTGATTACTTTCTTTAGAAAAATTTTCAGAAATAGAATTATGAGTTCAGTGACTATGAACACTGAAAATGCAAAAAGCCCTGCATTTCCTATTTTTTCATACACTTGCTAATATTGCATGTGATTAGTAAAAAAAAATGTGTTTTTTTTTTTGCAGTGTGAAAATGTCATTTCATAGATGTTTTAATTTGCATTTCAAAGAGGAGTAAGTAAATTGAACATATTTTGATGTGGCTTTTCTTTTTCTCCTTTCTCTCTCTCACCCTCTGGGTGTGAATTTCCTGCTAAAGGCATTTACCCACTGTTCCATAGGGATAGTGGCATACGGAAGGCATAGTGATTGGAGCAGTCTACTCTGGGTGCAGGCAATATGTGGGGAGTAATTCCTGTCGGCAACTTAAACCAATAATAAGATGCTCTCACAGTCAGTTGCACCAGCATTCTGAAGAGTGTCGATGATCAAATACTCCCAACCACTCCAGSCAGGCCTAACCGGCTCAGTGGTGGAGCTCTTGCCAAGCACATGTGAGGCACTGTGTTGGCTCCCCAGCACCACATAAAAATAAGTAAAAAAAAAAAAATTCAAGGTACTGTGTCCTTCTACAACTTAAAAAAAATTTAAAATGTATAGAAGGATGATCAGGAAAAAGTGTCCCTCCCACCCGAATCCCCAGCTACTTAATTCTCCTCCCAGGAAGCCATTGTGATTGACTTCGTATACATCCTGCCAAAAAAGAGTTTAAACAGAAACATATCTTTTCCCTGAATCAAAAGTATAATACAGTATTACTTAGTATATTGCTTTTTTTTTCACCTAGTATTAGATGTTAGAGATGTTTCCATCACTAACCTTTAATCTGCCATTTTATCCCTCTATTCTACTATATTGTACGTACTGTGTACTCTATTGTATGCACAGCCCATCTCCCTACTGATGGATGTGAATCATTTTACATGTATAACAACCAGTATATTTGTCCGATAAATTCCCAGTGCTGGAATTTTTGCTCTCCAAGATATGTGGATTTGCACATTTGGCACTGTGAAATTGTGTCCTCTACAGGTCTTATCCATTAGCACTTCTAATACTAGGAAAGAGTGTCTGTTCACCACCATAGTGTGCCTGCTACTAATCTCTTAGCTAAGAAATACATTTTGCTGAACTATTTGCAAGTAAGTTGCTAACAGAACAATGTTTTATCTTTAAGAATTCAGCATACTCTTCCTAAAAATTCTCCTATGCAATCATAGTGCCATTATTAAAACTGTTAACCTTACCAGTAATTTCATAATATGATCCAAGAGCCAATCCCTACTCAAATTTTATCACCAGCTGGCCGGGCCGGCGATATGAACTGGGTTTAAAGGGGCAGGCTGTATTATTGATAACTAAGGAAACAGGGAAGAAACCACGCGGCATATGGACATAAGTTTCTAAGGCAAGAAGGCTCAGTGACCTCAAGGGTCAGCTCTAGTACTGGAAGGAGCAAGAAGAGCAAGAGGAGCAAAAGAGAGAGTGCCTGAAACCTTCTATTTATAAGGCACCTCCACCAAGACATTTGAGAAAGTTCCACCCAAATAAGGCAAGGAATTGGGTTTCAGAGGGTTGCTTGATGATGTCTGTGGTCAGCAGTTTGACTGACATCTTGGCAAGTCGCACCCATCTCAGGTGCCATGTGGGAACACAGGCAGAGCAAGAGGAAAGGGCACACGTGCGTCACACAGCCTAAGGAGCATGCAAGACAGGCCAGTCCTCCCACACACTCAAATGCACATAGCTCACACACAGCCCATGGATGGCTCATGACAAAATTCCCTAATTGTCTCATTTTTTTTTTTTTTTATAGATATTTTACTATTTGGAGTGAGGAATAGAACAAGCTTTTTCTGGCATATTTATATGATTGCTACATGTTCCTAATTTCCTTTTTTTTAAAGCATTTTTTTAAATTTATTTTTTAGTTGTACCTGGACACAATACCTTTATTTAATTTATTTATTTATATGTGGTGCTGAGGATCGATCCCAGGGCCCTGCACATGCTAGGCGAGTGCGCTACCACTTAGTCACTACCCCAGCCCCTTCTTTTTTTTTTTTTTTTAACCAGGGATTAAACTCAGGGGCACTTGACCACTGAGCCACATCCCCAGTCTTTTTTTGTATTTTATTTAGAAAGAGGGTCTCACTCAGTTGCTTAAGTCCTCGCTTTAAACTTGTAATCCTCCTGCCTCAGCCTCCTGAGCTGCTCCACCACTTCCCAGGTCTCCTTTGTGATGTTAAATTTTTGAAGCAACCAAGCCAATCATCATGCAGAAAGTTACCATTCTCAGTGCGCTGGCTTCTTTCCCTGTGATATTCCCAACACTATTCAGTCCCCAAGAAAATGCTTCTCCATTCTGTTTCCTTAGAACCTACAGTGAGTGTGACCAGACCTTGCAAGTTTAGGGTTGTACTAACTTAGGGACACTGCTTTGTGTGCCATCCCATCAAATCATGAATGCAAAACATTCCTGCATAATGAAGTCACCCAGTAGTGCCAAACAACCATTTTCTTGCTTTACTTCACCTTGGAAATTGAGGTTTTGAAGGTCATCATGAATTTGTGTGGTGTCTGTAAAAGTTACACCTTCTGTTATATCAAACAGTTTATATCTAGTTGTGACCTGTGATATTTAAATAGGTAACTGGATGAATACTGAATAATAAAATTACAAAGAGTTTATATTTCTACAAAATATGTAATGAACTTTCATTAAAATTAAAAAAAAATCTTAAACATAATTTCACCTTTATTTCAATGCTTTTTATTTAACTCTATAAAATTTTGTTATTTGTTAATAAATTGGGCTTTCCTTTTAATGTTTGGAAGAAAAAGAAAAAGAATATTTATGAAAATCATATAAAAATAAGTATAGCACTCACTTTGGCAGCACATATATTAAAGTTGGAGTGATACAGAGAAAATTAGCATGGCCCTTGTGCAAAGATGACAAGCAAATTCATGAAGCATTCCATAAAAAAGGAGTATTATGTACATTTAATTGATTTTTAAAATATATTTAAATTTTGGATACTTTGAATATCATTAAATCTTGTACTTTCAATCTTTTTTTTCCCTATTTGTATACATCATATATTCACACCAATTCATGTCATCATACATGTGCTTTGGATAGTAATGATCATCACATTCCACCATCATTGATTACCCCATGCCCCCTCCCTTCCCCTCCAACCCCTCTGCCCTATCTAGAGTTCATCTATTCCTCCCATGCTCCTGCTCCCTATCCCATTATGAATCAGCCTCCTTATATCAAAGAAAACATTTGGCATTTGTTTTTTTTTTGGATTGACTAACTTCACTTAGCATTATCTTCTCTAACTCCATCCATTTACCTGCAAATGCCATGGTTTTATTCTCTTTTACTGCTGAGTAATATTCCATTGTATATATATGCCACATTTTTTTATCCATTTATCTATTGAAGGGCATCTAAGTTGGCTCCACAGTTTAGCTATTGTGAATTGTGCTGCTATAAACATTGATGTGGCTGTGTCCCTGTAATGCTGTTTTTAAGTCCCTTGAATATAGACAGAGGAGAGGGACAGCTGGTCAAATGGTGGTTCCATTCCCAATATTCCAAGAAATCTCCAATCTTTTAGATTATTGTTATCTAGAGGACACAATTTATGTGACATCGTTAAATTAAACAACCTGGCTAGTGGTTTCAAAATGCATGCGACAAAAATTAATTATTTTCCAAATAAATGTTTATAAAATTATGAATGTCACCGTGCATCAACACAACACTCAGATGGATGAAGTAAAAAATTTGGCTGGTTTTGACATTTTTCCAGCTTGCAGCCATCTAAAAATCCTGTAGCTTTGGATATATTTTATACATGTTTTATACATATTATAAAGGAATAGTTGTCAAAGATGAGAATAAAATGTATTTTATGCAAGTCGGTAGTTCATTTCATAGGTTTTAAATGTGACAACAGTGTTGGATTGCCTTGTTTTCTTCAGCACCAGTCCCTACAAATGGAGGTGGGCTGACACCCTACCTGTCTCCCCACTGGGATGGATTCTCAGATTTGAATACCTGGTAAAGATGGTAACAACTGAATGTTTCCATTAAGAGCACACATTCTATTTTTGTGTGTGTTTTTGTGATTACTAATTTGGAAAGGAGACTTTGCACTGTGTTTTAGCATCCTTTGGTAGTCTTTGCCAGATCAGTGATTACCTTGGGGAATGTAAAAAAGTTGATTTTTCTTAATCTATTACTACTTCTTCATTGATCAGATGACATTCTTCTTAACAAAAAAACCAACCTTCCTCCCTCCCTCCCTTCCTTCTGTCATTTTTTCCTTCCCTCCTTCCTTCCTTCTCTGCTTTCCTTCCTTCTTCCTTTGCATTCTTTCTTTTCTCAATGATCTCATGGATTTTATGTAACACAGTCACTACACTACCGTCATAGTCATTATTTCTTTTGATGCTCAAATTTTTACAAATTTGTAGGTGGGACTCCCTTTACATCACTTCTAATTTCTTTTGACCTGATCATTTCCTGTCTTCTGACCCCAAATGTCCCAGATTTGTTTTGTTCTTTCCTTGTCCTAGATTTGGACTCACTTGGATTTTTGGGGGGCAGGGAGGCGTTACCTGGAATGGAACTCAGGAGCACTCAACCACTGAGCCACAGGCGCAGCCCTATTTTGTGTTTTATTTAGAGCCAGTGTCTCACTGAGTTCCTTAGACCCTTGCTTTTGCTGAGACTGGCTTTGAACCTGTGATCCTTCTGCCTCAGTCTCCAGAGCTGCTGGGATTACAGGTGTGCACCATCACACCAGGCTCCCTTGGATCTTTAAAGAACCCCTCACTGCAGTTTAATCAGAAAATAAATTGTCTTAGTTTGATTGATATCCAGTATCATTTTACTTATTTATTTATGGGCCACTTGAATTTCTTTTTCTGGAATGTCTCTTGATTTCCTTTGCCCATTTTTTTCTTTTCCTTTAATTTTTTTAAAAACCTCAACACACACCATTGTAGCAGTCACAAACACGCACTTTTCCGTTTTTCTGCTGCGGGGTCAATAATTGACAGCCCAGCTACTTCCTCCTGAAAGCCCCTTGTGATTCACACTAAGGTCATACTTTCCAAGGCTGATCCCAACTAGTACTTCGACACGACAAGGACACTGTCTCTACATGATGGGGACCCCCTTGGTGGATGAACTTGGCTCCTCTTTGACCTGGCTGACACTTTATTGGATTTGCACTGCAGTCCAAGTCTCTTCCTGCCCCATCCTGCTGTCTTCCCGCTCTCTTCCACAAGGGTCAGGCCTGCGTCTTGGTGTCTTCCAGGCAATCCCTTAATAATCTCTGGAGTGTTTAATCCCATCCTGGTGCCTGTTTCTTAGGGCACTTGAGCTAATACATTCATAAACACGAGCATATACAAAACACATATGTACACATTATGTAATAAAATAAATAAAGACGCAAACCTGCCACTCATGTGAAGAAATGGAAAAGTACTACCTGTAACCTCCTCCTTCTCTTTTGTCACTTCAAAGTTAGCCACTGTCCCGACACTTGGGGTAACATGCCCTCACTTTTCTTTATTGCTCAATCACTGATAATTTAATATCAAGCAGAGAGATGTTGATTTTGCCTGGGAATTTCATATAGATAAGACTATATTTAGGTATTCTTTTATGACTTTTTAGTACTTAACAGATCAGGCCATCAACACAGATTTTAGATGTGTGCAGTCACAGCTAAAATCAATTGACTTTGACATTTGCCCAGTACTCTATTTGATTATTTTATATTTTATTCTTGTGTAGTTTTAATCATATATTCCAAATATGAATCTTTTTGCCAATTATGTGTGTTGCAAATGTCTTCTTACTTATGGCTTTTGAAACTCTGTGATATTGTTTGATGAACAGATGAACAGAAATAACCAACCATTGTCTCTCTTTTCCTATCTTGTGCCTTGTTTAAAAATTTTTCCTTACTCTAAGATCTTAGGATATATTTCCCTGTACTGGGTATTTAAAATTTTATTTTGACTTTTTTAATCCTTATTGTACCTGACATTGATTTTATTTTGGCATAAAATAGATATGTAATGTAATTTCTCCTATTGAGGGATATTTTTCCTGTTGGTAAAATTCACCTTTTTCTGTTCTATGGTTTTTTAAAAATATTTTTTTAGTTGTGGATGTACCTTTATTTTTTATTTACTTATATGTGGTGCTGAGGATCGAACCCAGTGCCTCACACATGCTAGGCAAGCAAGCACTCTACCACTGAGCCACAACCCCAGCCCCTGTTCTATGATTTTGACAAAAGCAACTGAGTGTCTACCACCACCATCAAGAAAGAACAATTTTTTTACCCCCCAAAGTTCCCTTATGTTGTTTTGTAGTCAATCTCTTCCCCTGCCCTCAGACTCTGAAAACCACTGATCTATTTCTTGTCTCTGTAGATTTTTCCTTCGCTATAAGGTTTTTATAAATGTCAGAATTAATATGACATTTTGAATATGGCTTTTTCTACCTTGTAACGTGTTTGAGATTTACCCATATTGTATGAGTCAGCAGGCCTTTCATTTTTTCATGGCTGAGTTATATTCCACAGTGTGGCTGTAGTACAGTTTATTTATTCCTTCATCCATTGAAGGATATTCGAGTTGTTTTTAATTTTTGGTGATTTTCATCAGCAATATAGAAAATTTCCATAGCTCTGCATTCTCACCAGCACTTGGTGAGAAACAATTACTTGTCAGTAATTGTTTTTCTGTTTATTCTTTTAAGCTATTCAAATGGGTATATTATGGCATCTCATTGTGGTTTTGGTTGCATTCCTTTGGAATTAATGATGTTGAGCATCTTTCCATGTGTTCATTTGTCATTTACATCTCTTCTTTGATGAAATTTTTAAAAAAGTTGTTTGTGTTCTTATTGGATTATAAGAGTTCTTTGTATATTCTCAATAAAAAGCCCTCTAGAGAGAGCAGTTGCAAATGCCTTCTACCAGTCTGTGGCTTACCTTTTCATTTTCTTAATCATACTATTTGAAAAGTATGTTTCCAATGTAATAACATCTAACTTACTAAATTTTTAAAAGGGTCCTGCATAGTATGTCCTATCTAAGAGAATTGTTTGCCAAACCCAAGTTCATAAAGTTTTTTCTTCTAAATGCTTATAGTCTTTACTCTTATTTTAGGGTTATGATTCATTACCAACTATTTTTTTTATATTTAAGAGGTCAGGAAAGCCATTTGTAAAAAATGTCTTCTTTTTAGATATACATGACAGCAGAGTGTATTTTGGCATACATACATTGGAGTCTAACTTCCCATTCTTTTGGCTGTACATGATGTGAAGTTACACGGGTTTTATATTCATATATGAGCATAGAAAAGTTATATTCAATTCATTCTGTCTTTCCTATTCCCATCCCCCCTTCCCTTCATTCCCCTTTGTCTAATCCAATGACTTTGTATTCTCCACCTCACTTCCACCTTATTGTGTGTTAGCATCTACATATTAGAACATTCATCCTTTGGTATTTTGGGACTGGCTTATTTCACGTAGTAGGATAGTCTCTAGTTCCATCCATTTACTGGCAAATGCCACAATTTTATTCTTCTTTATGGCTGAGTAATATTTCACTGTGTATATATACCACATCTCCTTTACCATTTATCTGTTGAAGGGCACCTAGGATGGTTCCATAGCTTAGCTATTTTGAATTAAGCTGCTACAAACACTGATGATACTATAGTATCATCACTATAGTATGCTGATTTAAGTCTTTTGGGTATATGCTGAGGAGTGGTATAACTGAGTCAAATGGTGGTTCCATTCCAAGTTTCTGAGTAATCTCCATACTGTTTTCCATAGTGGTGGACCGATTTGTGGTCCCACTAACAATGTGTAAGTGTACATTTTTCCTCACATGCTTGCCAACATTTATTGTTACTTGTATTTTTGATAATT